TCGGTAATACGACGCGAAGCCGATGAAACTCCTGACCTCTCCCACCGAGGTGGGAGTCGGCCAGGAGCTGACACACTGCGTTTTGGCGGGATCGGGAGCAATACCCGAGCGCCCTACGATGTGGCCCAAATAACGCACGGAATCGCGTAACAAATGACATTTTTGGGGCTTGAACTTCAAATTAGCAGCCCGCATCTTTAGGAAAACCGCCCGCAACCTCTGGAGATGTTCGTCAAAAGTTTTACCGAAGACGATAACGTCATCCAAATAAATCAGGCACGACTCCCATTGCAATCCAGCCAAAACCAATTCCATCAAACGCTGGAAGGTTGCCGGCGCTGAGTGTAAGCCCATCGGCAACCGGTTGAATTGGAACAGGCCGTGCGGTGTACGGAAAGCAGTTTTAGGTTTCGATTCATCATCCAGAGGAAGCTGCCAGAATCCCGAAAGTAAATCCAGCGTGGAGAAGAATCGCACTCCCGCCAAGGCGTCCAGCGATTCGTCCATCCGTGGGAGCGGGTATTCGTCGGCAACCGAAATTTTGTTAAGGCGCCGAAAATCAACGCAACACCGCAACGAGCCGTCCTGCTTTTTAACCAGGACGATCGGCGCTCCCCAAGGGCTGGTAGAGGGAGAAATAATGTCGGTGGCTAACATGTCATCAATAGCCGATTTGACATGGTCCTTTTCGGCGGGACTCAACCGAAACGGATTCTGGCGTATTGGCGCGCTGTCACCCGTGTCAATATGGTGACGCAGCAGAGGAGTGCAACCCAAATCGTATTTGTTCCGACTGAAAACGTCGGAAAATTCCTGCAGTAGCGCTCTAAGCTGTTGGCGTTCAGAATTTGACAGGTCCGTCGATCCCGCACAAAGCGCGTCGAGCCACCCTTCATCGCTGTCCGAACGTGGGTGCGGCCGGGGAGCAGTGCCGACATGATTTGCAACTGGTTCCTCGCAGGGCACCGGCGTCGCGTGCGCAAGCACCGTCCCTTGAGGAACTACAACAGTTTTCGATCCCACATTGAGGACCGCGATGAAAGGGTCCCCGTCCCCCCTCACGACGGTCAGGGCCGGAATCAAATGCGGTCCACTAACCCCGGCCCTAGACGGTCCTAACAGGATTCCCTGGGCCCCGATGCCCTCAGCGAAGGGCCGACGAAGTCTTAGAGGCACTAACATTTGAGCTCCCGGCGGCACACGAACCGTTTTAACGACGGACGCTGGTATAGTTATGAACGCCGTCCGAGTCGCAGTAGGAGAAGGCAGGAACGCCATGCGCCGTCCCGACGGGAGCTCAATGCATCCCTGGTCTATTAAAATACGAATCGGCATTTTACCCAAGAAGTCCGTCCCCAGCAGGCACGGAATCGCCAGCGAGGAGGAAACAAAAATCGGGCCCGACAATTTGATATCCCCGATACAAATTTGCGCTCGAATCTGTCCAATGATGCCAAGGGAGCCCCCGTTAGCAGCATAGAATGGGACATTAACTGGCAGTAAGGGACGGCTCTGGACAGGTAAAATGTTGTAAATTAGTTCGGAAATGATGGTCGCCGATGCCCCCGTGTCGACCAGGATGCGTACCTCAACCCCGTCAATGTGTCCCACGACGGCCGACGACCCCGACGACGCGGCCACAACGCGATGGGCCAACACGGACCACTGCCCGGGCTCGATTCGAGTCCCCACAGTGGTGCGCGCTGACCCATCGCGATGCAACGTCGGCCCCCCATTCGTTGTGGTGCGAGAGTGTGCGACAGGTATGTGCTTAGGCCAAACGTGTGGTGCCGCGACTCGCCGGATCATGTTGATGGAGCTTGGGAGGATGAGGAGGGTCGGCGTCCTGACGAGGCGTCGTCCCGCGCTGTCGAGGAGAGCGGCACCCCGAGGCGACATGGCCTCGGACGCCGCAGTTGAAGCAACGCGGGAGCGCCGGCGGCGATGACGGACGGTCGAAGCGGCTCGACCCATCCCGGCCCGACCGTGCTCCCGTCCCCTGCTGCCGACGATGGTCGACGGCGAAAACCTCCTCCGCCGGGAGGGTGGCTGCAGCCACCGCACGCCCGGCCGCTGCCCTGCTGGCTTTCCGCCGCTGTGACAGCAGGTTGGCGTGGAGGAGCCGCGCCGCCTGGAGGGAAGTCATCTCCGTGTCCTCCTGTGCAACGACGGCGATGTCCAGGTCGTCTGCCAGCAGGAGGATTTTTTCAGTCACCATGGCGTCGACGCCGTCCTCGTCCATGCGAGGGAAGGCTGTCTTGGCCAACGCCAGGAGACTCGTTCTGTATGCAAGGGGCGACTCCTTCGCGCCCCGCTGGCGGTCGTAAAACTGCTGCCTGCATTCCGCTGAAGGTCCGTAGACCCCGGCCAGCAGCTGCAGCGCCATCGGTAGCGTAGAGCGCTTCTCCCTCGGCGCCGATGTGAGGGCGGCGAGTGCGTCGCCGTCGAGGAGCGCCGGCAGCGCGCAGAGAGCTTCAGCATCCGACCATTTAGCCATTTCTTGGTGGGCGAGGAAGCGTCGCCGGAAGCCGCCCCAGTCGCCCTCTGCGCCAACAAACTCTTTAAGCGGAGGCAGTCTTTGGTGCAGCGCAGCGGTTGCTGTGGAACCCCGCAGGCTGTTGTCTCCACGACTCGGCTGTGTTTCGGCGCGAACGGCAGATGGTATCGCCTGTCGCAGCCGTGATGACGCGCCCTCCTCTGGCGCTGACGCGGCAGCCCCAGCGAGGCCGATGTCGGACCCGAGGTTCAGGCTGGCCACGCCCCGAGCAGTCGCCGCATCGATGGCGGGAAATTCAAAGTTTTAATCTTCGGAAATGGCGGGAAGGCGCTCCGGACGCCGGCTCCCCTCGCCCCGTGGTGGACCACCAGCCCCCAGCCGCGTGATGTTCTCCAGCGTGGCGGCAGCGGCGTAAAGCAGTTCAGCCAGCCTTTCGTGAGCCAGCCTCAACCCGTCTGTCTGCGGGCCCTCTTCATGCCGATGCCCCGGTAAGAACGCGTCCGGCCCTGGCTGCACGATGTCTTGTTGAGCCGTCTCGGGCTCGATAATTTCAGCGGCGTCCTCCATTTGTGGTACTTTGGCCCGAGCTGATTGGCGCGTGTCCATGTTCGTAGTTCTTCTGACACCAGATGAAGTACCGTTGAGGACGCTTGGACACCGTTGTAAGGCACACGTATTTATTTATACAAGTAGTCGTACAATACTAGAGGGGTGTATCGGCCCCCTCACCCGGATAGCTGGGAATACTCTATTAGCTACCCCTGACCTATCCCTAGTCCTCCACTAACGGGGAGGCTATCTGGCCCGACACTGGTCAGTCGGGCTACGGTACCCGGAGTCCCAGAGTACTAACTCTGGTTCACGGGACCACGCCACTGGCTCGGTCCTGCGCGGCCCTGATAAGGGCGGCGTCCCAGGGGAGTCCAGGGCCTAGCTGGTCGATCTTCCGTCTTCCTCCTTTTACTCTAAGACTCAACCCCGAGCTCTCTGGCTCATCCCCTTTTATACCCCCCCAGAGGATCACAACCCCCCCACGGGCAGCCCCCCCAAGCCGCCCGGTGCGGACGTCGTTGCGGGCACCTCCCCGTGTACTGACGGAGCCCCGCCCACTGTGTTTGTTACCCGTTTGATCCTATGCATACAGCCCTACACAAACAGCCCCTCTGTAACAGCCCTACACATGTAACTAGCGTGATGTAGTGTTTTCCATGTGTAATGTGAGCGTATGTGGGGGTTCGCCGCCCCAGCCCCTTAGCCAATCAGGTGCTACGAAGTATCGGGGGCAGGGTCTAAGGGCGGAGCCTGGGGCGTTAAGGGAGGGGTATTATCTGGAAGGTTCTTAAGGGGTGTGGCGAAGGGCGGAGTCTGGGTGATGTGGAAAGGGGATATAAGGGGGAGCCAGAAGGGGCTCGGGGTCAGTTGGTGGCAGCTGGAAGCTGGGCCACGTCGGGAGTCTCCGCGAGCCATCGGCCACGTGGCGGCACGGAGACGACTCCCAGCACGCCGTCTGCCAGCGGTGCGTGGGAGCGAAGGAAAGCGTGAGAGCGGCGCAGGAGCGGGACGTCAGTTCTGCCACGTGCCGCAGAGTGACCGGGAGAGCGGGACGCGAGCTGTCCATAACGAAGAATAAAAGAGATGGAACACAGTCGCTTGTCGTCGACCCGTATTATTACAATTGGGGTCAGAAGTGGAGATGTCCAAGCATCTCAAGAAAAAAATTGCGCCTACGCCGTCTTCTGACGATGACGAGCTCACGCAGGACCTGGCGGTCCCGGGAGCGGGGGGCCCGAACGGGGCGGCTACGGGCGGCTCTGCTAAGGTGCAAGAGGTGGTCGCCGGGGCCGGGCCGACTTCTTCCCCGGGCGTTGACAACGGCTGGCGGCACGTGGCGGAGCAAATCGACTCGCTGCGTGCCGTACTGCTCAACTTGGTGACGCTCATCGCGCCAACGACAGCACCGGGACGTCCGCATGGCGCGCTGCCGAGTGGGGAAGATCACTCGGGCAGGAATCTGCCGCCATTGCGGCCTCTGCTGGGCTGCCCGCCATTGCGGCCACGCGGCAGGATGACGCCATCTTGGGCGGGTCTGCGGGTGCGCGGCGGGAAGCCGCCATTTTGATGGCACCGCGTGAAACGCCAGTGTGGGGGGTTGGACCTGATGGGGGCAGCGGCGCAGGGGCGCAGCCATCGTCTTCCGAACTTGAAAAAATTCAGCGCAGGAGGGGACTGGAGAGTTTTCACGTGGCGCTTTGAGTCCGCTTTTTGCTCCATTCAGAGGACGGAGGGGGAGGCGTTAGAGGCCTTGCCTACATTCCTCGACGATGTTTCTCTCGTGGTGTTCCGCTCCATTCTTGCTGAGAAGAAGGCGATGCTACGGGAGGCATTTGCCGAAATGGCTGAAGTGTACGAGCCTCCGTCCGATACTCATCGAAAGTTCGTCCAGCAGCAGCGTGGGCCGAGTCGTCGAGGGAAAAGACGGCGTTTCGTACGCCTCAGGGGCTGTTCCAATTTAACTGTCTTCCCATGGGACTGAACGCCGCTCCCGCCACGTTCCAGCGGTTAATGGAACTGGTGTTGACCGGGTTACAATGGGACGCGTGCCTGATATACTTAGACGACGTCATTGTGTTCAGTCGTACGTTCGAGGAACACTTTCAGAGATTGCGGGCTGTGTTCGCCAGAATGCGTTCAGCGAATCTCAAGTTCAAACGCAAAAAGTGCCACCTCTTGCAACGCTCCGTGCGCTATTTTGGACATATTGTATCTCGGCCTCACTGTGCGCTGCGTTGCACTGCTAGTCGAGTAGATAACCTTGTGTTCAATAAACCCTCGGAGCCAGGATGAACGTCCAACTCCAATCGTCATTTATTGATTGTAACAAGGTAAAACTGGTGAGAAAACACAGATACAGCATCTGTTATAATCCGGAAACACCAACACAATAAACACCACAGCATCAGAACATTGTCTTATATAACAATAGATCTTGGACGGACCAGGCACCTACATTACCACTGAACAACTAGACAAAAGCACAAGCCGGTGGGTTGCATACAGGCACATCGTGTATTCATCCCACTGTACCCCAAAAGTACAGCATTACACATAACACTAAACTGTGGATGAGATACTTCATCATCTTTACTCTCAGGATCGCAACATAGGCACAAGTCTGACTCGACCTACTAAATCACAAGTAACATCCACAATAAGGAAAGTCGCAGGCTTCGTTACTAACTAGGCCTCGTATTTACTACAACAACTTAACGGCACCATAAAGGCATTTACATCACTATAACGGGCATTCCAACATTACAACAGCATTGTCAATATTATGGGAATATAAACAACTTACAGACAATGCTTCTTAAGCTCCCACAATGGACAAGTACGGCTGTGGTCTCACTGAGATGCGATGCGTGCCGCCATCTTGACTTATCTGTGTAATGGCCGACGCCTGCGTGGTACAGTGGAAATCTAAAATCGTAACTTCCTGGTCACGTGACCAAAATTAGCATAAAAAAACAGGAACTTCCTGTGAACGTACACTCCACATCTGCCATGAGGCAAGACACTCCCCGTCTGGTATCTTGGAGATACCACCATTTATTTCCTATCTCTTAACAACTTCAACGGGTCGACTTATTTGTCCATATCTTTGCGAGAGAGAAGTAGTACTATCTCGACTATGGGCCTGATGAAAGTTCTTGCGACACCTTGCTTCGCAATCATAACCTCGACCTTTCGAACTTTTCCATCGGCACTTAGAATCGACTTGAGGATGCGGCCCATTGGCCACTCATTCCGTTTGGCTTGGTTGTCCTTCAGTAGGACAAGGTCGCCTTCTTGGATGTCTGGTATGTTAGACTGCCACTTGTTGCGCACTTGGAGTGTCGTAAGGTACTCGTTTTTCCAGCGACGCCAGAACGTGTTCACGAAGCTCTGCACTTGTTTCCATTGACGTCTGTAGAGGTCTGCAGTGCTGGCCTCCTCGGGAGGTGCTGTGAGCACATCTGTCTTCTGGGTAAGAAGTGTAGCAGGAGTCAAGATGAATGGTGACTCCGGGTCTGTTGAGACGGGGATCAGGGGTATTGAGTTAATTATGGCTGAGACCTCGGCCATGAGAGTGGTCAAGACCTTGTGAGAGAGCCGTGTGGACCCGACATCACATAGCATGGAGTCGGGAATGCGTCGAGCAATCCCGATCATGCGTTCCCAGGCTCCACCCATATGCGAAGAGTGGAGAGGATTGAAGATCCATGTGCAGCCTTGATCACTAAGGTATTTCCTGACAGAATCATCTTCGACATTCTCCGTATTGATCTTAAGCTCTTTACATGCTGCTATGAAATTGGTTCCACAATCAGAACGGAGTTGCTTGGCTGGCCCTCTGATGGCGAAGAATCTCCGGAGTGCATTTATAAAGCTCGAAGAGTCCATGGACTCGATAACTTCGATGTGCACTGCTCGTGTACTCATACAGGTGAACAGCACTGCCCAACGTTTGCTGTTCGCGAGCCCTCCTCTGGTGCGGCGGGAGATGACTGTCCATGGTCCGAACACGTCGATCCCTACAGAGGTGAAGGGAGGCTCCACACTGAGTCGATCGGCTGGGAGGTCTGCCATTTTCTGTTCTTCCTGTTTTCCACGTAGCTTACGACACCGGATACACTTGTGGATTGTGCTGGCGATGCACCTCTTTGCTCCAACGATCCACAGCCCTGCAGACCGGATTGCTCCTTCTGTGAAGTGCCGACCTTGGTGCTTGACCTTCTCATGGTAGTAGCGCACAAGTAAAATTGCAATGTGGCTCTGGCTCTGGATTATGAGGGGGTTTCGTTCATTCTCATCTAATTTTGCATTCCCTAGCCGACCACCGATCCTGAGCAAGCCGTCTTTGTCCATCCTGGGGTTTAACTTCCTGAAGGAGCTGACCCTAGGAAGGTCCTCTTCCTTGTTGATGGATTGATCTCACTTGCATAAGCTGCCTGTTGCACACAGCAGAATATTGATTTCCTTGCTCTGGAAAGCTCATCTTCAGTACGTGGCACTGTGCAGTGATGCCACCCATTGCAGCTACCAGTGGTGCCTCTCATCGGGCGATGGAAGCAGTCTGCGATATGCGTTAGATGTGCTATCGCTCGCACGAGCGTCGTCCATTTCGAGAAATGTTCAAAATGGTGTGGACTCAGTGGACTTCTTGGTCGCACATTTGTTACGAAAGTTGTCACATGAGGACGAATCTCCTTGTCGGACTCGGGCTCTATGAGTCCAAAGGTCTCCTTGGTAGTACATGGGCTACCGTCACATCGTAACAGGAACGCTGGACCCGTCAGCCAGATGGTTTGATTCAGCAGAAATGCAGGGACAGACCTAGTTGCGAAATCTGCTGGATTCCGGTCAGTTGGAACGTAATTCCATTGCTCCGGCTGCGTCGATCTCCTGATGCGCCCCACCCGGTTGCTGATGTAGGTGTAAAACCTTCTGGTTTGGTTGTTTATGTAGCCTAGTACGACCTTACTCTCCATGTAGAACTTGACCGCGTCCAGTTTGACGTCAAATTCGTCTAAGATCAGTTCCGCCACCTCTGTAGCAAGAACCGCTCCACACAGCTCAAGCCTTGGGATGGTATGGTCCGGTTGTGGGGCCAGTTTGGCTTTGCCCAATATGAACTCAACATGCTGGATCCCTTCTGTGCTTGTGGTTTTTAGGTAAGCTACGGCTGCTACGGGCATCATAGAAGCATCTGCAAACACATGTAACTTCTTCCGTTGGGTTACGGAAAGGGATGTGGGCGTGTAGGAACGTGGAATCTGCAGCTGCTCAAGTGCCCGTAAGGAATTTCTCCAAGTTTCCCATTCTTGTCGCCGTTCCTCCGGCAACGGGCTATCCCAGTCTTGTGTATCAGCACAAAGGTCTCTGAGTATCCAACGGCCTTGAATGGTAACCGGCGCTACAAATCCCAGTGAATCGTACAGGCTGTTTACCATCGACAAGATGCCACGTCGTGTGTAAGGTTTCTCTCCAATTGATACTCGGAACGTGAACGTATCCGCTTTCAGGTCCCAACTCAGTCCAAGGCTGCGTTGGATTGGTGGTGTGTCGACATTAAGGTCCAAGTCTTTCAAGTCTTTTGAGCGATCGTCTGAAGGAAACGCTTTTATCACTTCTACGCTGCTGGACGCTATCTTGTGAAGTCTCAGGTTAGCAGTTGCTAACATTCCTTGCGTCCTTTGGAGCAGATCGATGGCTTTTGAGGCCGTGGGCATTGATTTAAGTGCATCGTCGACATAGAAATCTCGCTCTACAAATCTCTTGGCGTCTTTCCCAAATTCCCCTTCTCCTGCCTGCACGGTCCTCCTAAGTCCATAGGTGGCTACCGCTGGGGATGGGCTGTTGCCGAAGACATGCACCTTAATTCTGTATTCAACAAATCGATCATCGACGTTGTTATTGTGGTACCACAGAAACCTGAGGTAATTTCTGTCGTCTTCTCGGACAATGAAACAGTGGAACATTTGTTGAATGTCGGCTGTTACGGCGATTGACTCCTTTCTGAAACGGATGAGTAATCCTAGGAGACTGTTGTTCAAGTCAGGTCCGGTGAGCATTACATTGTTCAAGAAAATGCCCTTAAATTGAGCACTGGAATCGAACACCACTCTGATCTGATCCGGCTTCTTTGGGTGATACACGCCAAAGATTGGTAAGTACCAGCATTCCTGTCCTTCTTCTAGAGGGGCTGCTTCAGCGTGACCACTGTCAAATATGTTTTTCATGAAGGACGCAAAATTATTCTTCATCTCTGGTTTCTTGTCCAAGGTGCGGCGCAATGAGTTGAGCCGTGAGAGGGCTTGCTCTCTATTGTTGGGTAGTCGGCATCTGGGATTACGAAATGGCAGAGGGGCAACCCAACTGTTTGACTCATCTTGGAAGAACTCTCTGTCCATTATTTTAAAGAATTCTTTATCCTCTAGCGATGGAGCAGATTTGTCGTCGTCCTTCGTTGTCACGAACACCGTATGTCCAACATTCTCTTTCAGCATAGAGGTTTCTTCGTCAGCCTGTATGGTACAGCCTTGACTTCTATCGTCGAATTTTTCTTTCAGCGTGAAGTGGTTGGGGCACGGTTTGAAGAGCGACGTGCGTCCATTCGTGAGCACACTTGTTCTGAATGTGCTAATGCGGTCTGATTTGTGTGTTCCATCGAGACAAACGTCACCTACGATGACCCATCCTAGGTCAAGTCTCTGGGCGTAGGGAGCGTCGTGAGGTCCATTGCGTTGGTCGCGAACCTTGTGGACTCTCAGCATGTCCCTGCCGAGCAGAAGTAAAATCTGTGCCGCGTGATCCAATGGCGGGATGAACTTTGCTATGGGTTCCAGGTGTGGGTGGTGACGTGCAACTTCGGGCGTGGGAATCTCACTCCTGTCGTCCGGTATCTCGTTGCACTCTGTCACCGTAGGAAGGGCTAGCTTCATGGTGCTATCTATGGCTTCCACCATGAGGCCGCTCGCTCTTCTTCCCGCTGTCTCCATCAGTCCTGAGCATGTTCTGAGCGTGTATGGAAAGGAATTCCCACCTACACTTAGCTGATCAAAGAACTCTGACCTTGCCAAAGACCTGTTGCTCTGGTCGTCCATTATGGCGTACATCCTTACTGCCCTTACAGGATGTCCTTTGGGATAGATTCGGACGAGGCATATCTTTGAGCAAGATCTTCCTTTGAAGCCTTCTCCACAGATTTCTGTGCATTTGGTTGTGATTGACGAAGTGAGTGCGATGGTCTCGCCTTGCTCCCCGCCGTGCTCTGCTTCGGGATCGGAAGCCTTAGTGCCACTGGTTTTCGAGTAAAATGTGTGCAGAGCAGTTGCGTGTTTGTCGCTGCCACATTCCTCGCACTTGATATCTGCCTTGCAATTCCTTGCAAGGTGGTTTGTAGAAGCACAGCATTTGAAGCACACTCCTAATTCTTTCAGCATGTTCTTCCGCTCTTCCAATGGCTTCCTCCTGAACTCACGGCATTTCTGGAGGGAGTGAGGTTAATCATGCAATGGGCATTGCTTCTCTGGATCCTCTATCTTTTTCTTTGTGGTGGTTGCCTGGACGGAGTTTGCGAATGTCGCAGGAGAGACCTCAGTCTTGTGTACGGAAATTGGCACTCTCGCTGTTCCTCGTTTCGCTATCATTCTTTCTATTTTTGGGAGATCTGGACTGGAAATCCCCGTGGTACCAAACATGAAACTCGGGTCATTTCTAGTCTTAGCCAGGTTGCGGATAAACATTGAGAAAAAAGAGAATGGGGGGAATGCAATCTGATGCTCTGACTTGTATCTTGAACCCACTGTTCTCCATTTTTCCTGCACGTCAAATGGCAATTTCTCTACGATGGGGTTCACGCCATGGTAGGTATTCAAGAAAATGAGACCTGGTAAGTAGGGGTCAGCCTGGGCTGATTCAAGCTCCATGAAAAGATCTCCAAGCTCCCGTAACCTTTTATTGTCTCGACCAGAGATTTTTGGAAAGTTCTGCAACTTCTTGAAGAGAGCCTTCTCAATGGTTTCTTGACTACCATAGCACTCCTCGAGCCTCTCCCACACCGCATGCAGGCTTGAGGTGGGGTCGTCAATGTTTGCTGACCGGATCCTCTCTGCGTACTCTGCAGATTCAATTCCTAACTATTTCACCAACAGGTCGAGTTCTTCACTTGCAGAGATGTCTGCATTTAGGATTGCATTCCTGAAGGTATATCTCCAGGCTCGATAGTTCTCAGAGTGGTCATCAAACGTAACGAGTCCTGTGTTGATTAGTTCGCGGTGAGCCAGGTACCTAGCAAAGTCCCCTAGTCCTGCTGATCCAGGGTGTGTCCATACTGGCGCTTGTGAGGTGGCATTATTGTCTGTATTGTCTTGCATGCCGTCATTTGCGATGGCGTTAGACTGTGGGCCCAAAGGGTTTCGATCACGTTGGCCGGATCCCCTTATGTGACTGTCTGGAATGTGGGTCTGACTTGGTGCATCCACGTCTGACCCCACGTGTGCGACGCTGAGTCGGCGACTAACTGCCAGGGCAGGATATGCATTTCCACCATTCCTGTAGACAGCATTCATGTTCATTCGGTGTGGAGATGGCGATGCCTGAACGTCCACCCTTTGTTCAGTATCGTTTGGTGGAGGAGCATTGATGCATTGTTCAGACCAGTCCAAAATATTTTTTCTGGTGAGTTGATCACGGTCCTTGACAGGTATGAGTGCCAAACTCACTCCAATTCTCTTCCTTATCCAGGTTGGCTGCTGCCTCGAGCACCTCTGCCTGGGCCATTGCAGCAGCTGCTTCCCTTTTGAGTTGTAGGGTGCTTAACTTAGCATCCAGCTCAATTTTCTTCCGTGTAGCAGTAGCCTCTAATATACTCTCGTGCGGCAGCAGTTGCTAATATACTTTCTTGCTCTGCTTTCTTCCGTGCGGCAGCAGTTGCTATGGTTGCTTCTTCTTGTATGCGAGCCTTTTCAATTAGCATGGCTTCCTCTTCAGCCATGTAGGCGATACGGGCGTTTGCTGCTTCTGCTGCGGCGCGTGCCTGAGCTGCTGTCATACTAGCAGATGATATATGTGAGTGTGCTGAGGCTTTAGGTCTTGTGGTGGACCTGGATGAGACAGAGTGCTGAGATCGTGTCTCTCTTAAGCTCTCAACACGGTCCATTGCATCTTGTATCACTGCCTGCACATTATCATCGAGCAGTTCGAGGAAGTGCTCTTGTCTGCGCACTCCCTCAATGCCCTCATCTGTTTTCACCTTCATCAGGAGGGAGATGTATTTATTTGCCAGGAGCTTGTAGCTTGAGCTGCTCACCTTCACTCGCTGGATGGCCCGCTGAATTGAGGCCATTGTGTCTGAGGCGTTTGAAGCTTCAGATATATCTGCTTCAACCCGGTCCCATGCCCGTTGTATCCTGGCATCAAGGTCCTGTTTCTCAGCATCATAGCTTTCCAAGGCCCGTTGTGTCAACCTGACCTCTCTTTGGGGCCTTGAACTCCCTTGGTCCTCTTGAGGCAGGATGGGAGGTCTTGGATTGCTTAAATCATCTTCTTCAGCATCTCTCCCTGCTGAACTGTGGCTGTCCATGCTGCGATGCTTGCAACACGATTTTAATGTAGACTCTTTGCCGAGCTGGTTGCTTGCTGCAGGCTGACTGCTTGAGAGCGCCTTTGCTTGCTGCAGGCTGACTGCTTGAGAGCGCCTTTGCTTGCTGCAGGCTGACTGCTTGAGAGCGCCTTTGCTTGCTGCAGGCTGACTGCTTGAGAGCTTCTTGCTTGCTGCAGGCTGACTGCTTGAGAGCTCCAAGAAGAGTGTCTTTTACTATCTCGGCCTCGCTGTGCGCTGCGTTGCACCGCTAGTTGAGTAGATAACCTTGCCTTCAATAAACCCTCGGCGCCAGGATGAACGTCCAACTCCAATCGTCATTTATTGATTGTAACAAGGTAAAACTGGTGAGAAAACACAGATACAGCATCTGTTATAATCCGGAAACACCAACACAATGAACACCACAGCATCAGAACATTGTCTTATATAACAATAGATCCTGGACGGACTAGGCCCCTACATTACCACTGAACAACTAGACAAAAGCACAAGCCGGTGCGTTGCATACAGGCACATCGTGTATTCATCCCACTTCACCCCAAAAGTACAGCATTACACATGACACTAAACTGTGGATGAGATACTTCGTCATCTTTACTCTCAGGATCGCAACATAGGCACAAGTCTGACTCGACCTACTAAATCAAAAGTAACATCCACAATAAGGAAAGTCGCAGGCTTCGTTACTAACTAGGCCTCGTATTTACTACAACAACTTAACGGCACCATAAAGGCATTTACATCACTATAACGGTCATTCCAACATTACAACAGCATTGCCAATATTATAGGAATATAAAGAACTTACAGACAATGCTTCTTAAGCTCCCACAATGGACAAGTGCGACTGTGGTCTCACTGATATGCGATGCGTGCCGCCATCTTGACTTATCTGTGTAATGGCCGACGCCCGCGTGGTACAGTAGAAATCTAAAATCGTAACTTTCTGGTCACGTGACCAAAATTAGCATACAAAAACAGGAACTTCCTGTGAACGTACGCTCCACATCTGCCGTGAGGCAAGACATTGTCAGCTCAGACGGTGTAGCCACGGACCCGGACAAGACGTCGTGCGTCCGGGACAGGCCGGCCGCCACCTCGGTGGGGGAGGTGCGTCGGTTTGTCGAGTTCTCGTCCTACTACCGTCGATTCGTACCTAATTTCGCCACCATCGCAAGACCGCTGCACCTCCTCACGACAAAAAAATCAGTGCATTTCATGCAGCTATTATAATTTGACGAATTGCGTTCCATGCAGCTATTATAACGTAACGTATTCTTCCACGTAGCTATTATAACGTAACGTAGTGAGTTCCATGCAGCTATTATAACGTAACGTATTGCGTTCCATGCAGCTATTATAACGTAACGTATTGCGTTCCATGCAGCTATTATATCATGTAGCTATTTTATTTAACGTGTTGTTTCCATGTAGCTATTATAACGTAGCATATTATTATTTGGTTCTTTCGGTAGTCACGTAGAAAAAAAAATAATAATAAAATACGACGTTTCCATTGCAACACAAGCAATCGTCATCAGGTAGAATGCATTTGAGAGAGAGACAAAACACAAACACGGAGACACACAGACAGACACACAAGCAGAGATAGACCACAGAGACAGAGAGACACAGATTACATATTGTGTGTCTATGTTGTATCTCTCTCTGCTTGTGTGTCTGTCTGTGTGTCTCCGTGTTTTTTTGTCTCTCTCTCAAATGTGTAGGGGTGTTAAAGAGAGGGCCCGTTATGCAGGCAGCCTATGGAAAACAAACACAGTGGGCGGGGCTACGTAAGTGCACGAGGAGGTGCCCTCTACGACGTCCGAGCCAGACACCCTGGGGGGGGCTGGTTCGAACGTTATGATCCCCCGGGGCCCCACCCCTCAGGGAGGGGTTGGGTATAAAAGGGGATGTTCAAAGGGCTCGAGTCAGTTATGTTTAAGCTAAGGGAAGAAGACTGAAGACGTCTTAGATAGAGCCCTGGACTCCCCTAGTTCGATGTCCTTTTCAGGGCCGGACAGGACTGAGCCAGCGGCGTGGTCCCGAAAGCCAGAGCCGGTGCTCTTGTAAGAGCTGGTCTGGAACTCCGGGTACCGGGCCCGACTTACCAGTGTCGGGCCAGTTAGCCTCCCCTAGCCCATTAGTGGAGGATTCGGGGCTAGGACAGAGTTAGCTAGGGGTGTATCCCGAGTTATACGAGTGAGGGGGCCGATACCCCCTCGAGTGTGTATATGCCCACTGTCGTATTGTGAAATAAATATACGTGTGCCTCAACCTCGGCGTCAAGCGTCTTCACTGGTACTTCAACTGGTGTCAGAAGTAATTCGAACATGGACACGCGGAAAACAGCGCGGGCCAAAGTACCGCAGGAGGAAGACACTGCCGAGATCGTCGAGCCCGAGACGGCTCCACAAGACAAGGTGCAGCCGGGGCCTGACGCCTCCTTACCGGGGCATCGAAATGAAGAGGGGCCGCAGCCAGACGCGTTACGGCTGGCTCACGGGAGGCTGGCGGAGCTGCTGTATGCCGCTGCCGCCACGCTGGAGACCATCACGCGACTAGGGGCCGGTGATCCAACACGGGGCGAGGCGAGCCAACGACCAGGGCGCCTTCCCGCCATTTCGGAGCAGTCCGAATTTGAAATTCCCGCCATCGACGCTACAGCTGTTCGGGGCGTGGCCAGCCTAGACATCTGCTCCGACATCGCTGTCGCTGAAGCTGCAACGTCATCACAAGCGCGACAGGCGATCCCATCGGCCGTTCGCACCGACGCACAGCCGAGTGGTGGTGACATCAGCCTGCGGGAGTCCACAACGACTGCTGCGCTTCATCAGAGACTGCCCCCGCTGAAGGAGTTCATCGGCGCGGAGGGGGACTGGGCCGGTTTTCGCCGACGTTTCCTCGCCCATCAGGAGATGGTGAAATGGTCCGATGAGGAGGCTCTCTGCGCGCTGCCGGCGCTCCTCGACGGCGATGCGCTCGCCGCCCTCACATCGGCGCCGAGAGAGAAGCGGTCTACGTTACCGATGGCACTACAGCTGCTGGGCGGGGTCTATGGACCATCGGCTGAATGCCGACAGCGATTTTACGACCGCAAGCGGGGTGAGAAGGAGTCGCCCCTAGCATATCGGACGAGCCTCCTGGCGATGGCTAAGTCGGCCTTCCCTCGTATGAACGACGACGGCGTGGACGCGATGGTCACGGAGAAGATCCTCCTCCTGGCAGACGACCTTGACATCGCGGTCGTCGCCCGGGAGGACGAGGAGATGACATCGCTCCAGGCGGCGCGGCTCCTCCACGCCAACCTCCTGTCACTGCGGCGGAAAGCCAGCAGGGCATCGGCGGGGCGTGCGGTGGCTGCAGCCACCATTCCGATGGAGGAGCTCTACGCCGTCGACCACCGACCGCAACAGGCGACAGGAGCACGGTCGGGCCGGGACGGGCCGGGCCGTTTCAACCATCCGTCTCCTCCAACGGCGCTCCCGCGGTGTTTCAACTGCGGCGTCCGGGGCCACGTCGCCTCGGGGTGCCGCGCTCCTCGACAGCGCGGGACGACACCTCAACGGGACGACGGGCCTCATCACAAGCTCCACCATCATAACCCGGCGAGTCGCGGCACCCCACATGTTTGGCCCACGCACACACCCGTCACGCACTCAAACACCGCAACGAGAGGGGGGGCCGATATCGCGCACCATCGCACCATCACGCACCACCCCGGGTACTCATATCGAACCCGGCCAGTGGTCCGTGCTGGCCGATCGTGTGGTAGCCGCATCGTCGGGGTCGTCGGCCGTTGTGGGGCACATCGACGGGGTTGAAGTGCGCATCCTGGTCGATACGGGAGCATCGGCGACCATTATTTCGGAGTTGATTTACAATATTCTCCCTGTCCGGAGTCGTCCTTTGATGCCTGTTAACGTACCATTCTATGCGGCTAACGGGGGCTCACTTGGCATCATCGGACAAATTCGTGCCCAAATTTGTATTGGGGATATTAAATTGTCTGGGCCGATTTTTGTTTCCTCCTCGCTGGCGGTTCCGTGCCTGCTGGGGACGGACTTCCTGGCCAAAATGCCGATTAGGATATTGATCGACCAGGGATGTATTGAGCTCCCGTCGGGCAGACGCATGGCGTTTCTGCCATCGCCTGTTACGACTCGGACGGCGTTCGCGACGGTGCCGGCATTCGTAGAGAGAACGGTGCGCGTACCTCCGGGGGCGCAAATGTTGATTCCCTTGAAACTTCGGCGGCCCTTCGCTAAGGGTGTTGGGGCCCAAGGGGTTCTGCTGGGGCCGTCTAGGGCCGGGGTTAGTGGACCTCATTTACTTCCGGCCCAGACCATAGTAAGAGGGGACGGTGAACCCTTCATCGCGGTCCTCAATGTGGGCTCGCAGACGGTGGTGGTCCCACAGGGGACCGTGCTTGCTCACGCAACGCCGGTGCCATGTGAGGAACCCGTCGCAAATCACGTCAGCGTTGTCCCTGCGCCGCGACCGCATTCGGACAGCGATGAAGGGTGGCTCGAGGCGCTTTGTGCGGGATCGACGGACCTGTCAGATTCAGAGCATCAACAACTTAAAACACTACTGCGGGAATTTTCCGACGTTTTTAGTCGGAATAAATACGATTTGGGTTGTACTCACCTGCTGCGTCACCATATTGACACGGGTGACAGCGCGCCAATTCGCCAAAATCCGTTTCGGTTGAGTCCCGCCGAAAAGGACCATGTCAAATCGGCTGTTGATGACATGTTGGCCGCCGACATCATTTCTCCTTCCACCAGCCCTTGGGGAGCGCCGATCGTCCTGGTTAAAAAGCAGGACGGTTCGTTGCGGTTTTGCGTTGATTTCCGGCGTCTTAACAAAATTTCGGTTGCCGACGCATACCCGCTTCCTCGGATGGATGAATCGCTGGACGCCTTGGCGGGAGCGCGATTCTTTTCCACACTGGATTTACTTTCGGGATTCTGGCAGCTTCCTCTGGACGATGATTCAAAGCCTAAAACTGCTTTCCGTACACCGCATGGCCTGTTCCAATTCAACCGGTTGCCGATGGGCTTACACTCAGCGCCGGCAACTTTCCAGCGTTTGATGGAATTGGGTTTGGCTGGATTGCAATGGGAGTCGTGCCTCATTTATTTGGATGACGTTATCGTCTTTAGTAAAACTTTTGACGAACATCTCCAGAGGTTGCGGGCGGTTTTCCTAAAGATGCGGGCTGCTAATTTGAAATTCAAGCCCCAAAAATGCCATTTGTTGCGCGATTCGGTGCGTTATTTGGGGCACATCGTGGGACGCTCAGGTATTGCTACCGATCCCGCCAAAACGCAGTGTG